ACCTTCTTTGATACTATAACTGCTCTTAAATTTTTACTAGATAACATTTTTGTTCGCTATGGAGATTCTGTCTATCGTCCGGTTATCGGAATTCCCATGGGGACTAACTGTGCAACACTTATTGCGGACCTGTTTCTGTATTGTTATGAGTTACAATTTATGACTAAAATCAGCAAAGACCCATCGAAACAACATCTGATTCAAAAATTTAAGAACACTTTTAGATATTTAGATGATATATTGGCTCTCAATAATAACGACTTGATTATGTACACTAAAGAGATTTATCCTGCCGAACTGACTTTAAATAAAGCTAATACTAACAATGAACACTGCCCTTTCCTGGATCTTGATATCTTTATCTTTCATGAAAGGGAAGCTTAATACCAAAATTTATGATAAAAGAGATGATTTTTCATTTCCTATTGTTAATTATCCATTTTTGGATGGTGACGTTCCCTTGTCGCCATCTTATGGTGTTTATATATCTCAACTTGTTCGATTCGCTCGTGTATGTAACAACGTATTTGATTTCAACGAAAGAAATCTCTGTATTACTGAAAAATTATTACACCAGGGTTTTCGATATCACAAACTAGTCAAAACATTTACTAAATTTTATCATCGGTACAAGGACATCATTCGTAAATATAAATCAACATGCAGACATCTTCGTTCAGGTATTTCACATCCAATATTTTATGGTAATATTCTTCACAAAGCACAAAAATGTCGGCACTCAGCTCAAAAGCTAACCAAACCTTTAAACAGACTTATTCGGAAAGGATATAGTTACGATACTGTTGTCAAGTCATTAAGGAATGCATATTTTGGTATTAATATTGATTCACTCATAGGGTCTTTGCATCGGAAATAAACACATTTATTCTAAAACCAGTTGTTGGCATGATACGGGTTATGTTCTTCTCATATATTTTATGATGGTATGATACTAAACCCGTAACGGGAGGGATTGTACTTGATTTTCATATGATGAAGACATAATCTTTTTTCAATTAGTTTAATTGAGGTCTGGAGCTGGCATGTCAGTAACTGCTAGTAGTCCTTTGTTAATTTATGTATCATTGTCATTTTGCTTAGTTTCTTTTGTTACCTATTCTGACTTCTTTTAAACTGAGTTTTACTGTGCGTATTGCTATGTGTTTCTTTATTATACATTGGCTAGAGGTATAGGGGGAGGGTTGAGATCTCACAAAACATGTTTAACCCCGCCGCATTTTTGCGCCTGTCCCCAAGTCAGGAGCCTCTGGCCTTTGTTAGTCCAGTATTTTTTTTAAAATTTAGTTCATTTATATGTTTTGGAGTTAAGTGTGACGTCCATTTTCACTGAACTAGCACACAATTTTATTTAGGGGCCAGCTGAGGACCACCTCCGGGTGCGGGATTTTCTCGCTGCATTGAAGACCCATTGGTGGCCTTCGGCTGTTTTCTGCTCTTTGGTCGGGTTGTTGTCTCTTTGACATATTTCCCATTTCCATTCTCAATTTTATGTACAACTTTTAATCATTCCGTACACCAAATATAGTGGTTCTATCGCTATAAGAGGGGAGGAATGTCCTTTACCGTCAGGCGTCAAACGGTCATTTTCGACTACCGTAAGCGTCAAATTGGTTTAAATTTTATCGTGATCCGTCAAAATATCCTTATCGGGATTTGTCACAGGTCTCAAATAAGTATCTGTTACCGTTATTTTTGGAAAGAACTTATCGTGATTCGTCAAAATCAGTCGATTTTTTTATCATCGTACAGAAAATGTACATCTTATCGGCATGCCCCAAAAATTACCGTTACGTCATTTGGCCAGATTTTTTACCGTTATTCATCATGAAGGTATCCCCATTACGACCCTCCTATAAGTACCTGAGAAAAAGATCAAACCTTGAAAACGAGGTCAAGGTCATATAAACCCTACCAGACAGACATGCACACCTTACAATCATTCCATATACCAAATACAGTTGACCTAATACTTATAGTATCATTCTGATGAACTGACAAAATTACGAAAACTTATCATTGACCAATGAACCATGAAAATGAGGTCAGATGAAACATGCCAGACAGACATGTACAACTTGTAATTCCGTACACCAAATATAGTGGTCCTATCGCTAAAAGTACCCGAAAAACAGATCAAACCTTGAAAATGAGGTCAATGTCATATAAACCCTGTCAGACAGACATGTACACCTTACAATCGTTCAATACACCAAATATAATTGACATTTTTCTTATAATATCTGAGAAATAGACAAAAACTAAACATTGTTCAATGAGGTCATTCTCAATGTCAAATGAAACTTACCAGACGGACACCTTACACCAAATATAGCGGCCCTATTGCACAAAAACTAAACATTTACACCAAATATAGCGGCCCTATTGCACAAAAACTAAACATTGTCCAATCATCCAATGAAACATGAAAAGTTGAGGTCAAGGTCAGATGAAACCTGCCAGTCGAATGTTGGAGTAACAATAACATCAGACTTAAAGTGGGAAAATTACATCAGAAACATCTGCCTATAAGCAAATAAAACAATTGGATTCCTCAAAAAAAAATCTCAACATCTCTAACACTGACATCAAATAAAAAGCCTACACCTCCATTATAAGACCAATAGTATACTATGCGAGTGCTTTATGGGATCCACATCTCCAAAAAATAAACAAACTAGATATGGTACAGAGAAGAATAGCTAGATATGCAACTAACCGGTACAGATATAGATCATCTGTAAGTGACATGCTAGAACAGCTTGATTGGACATCGATAGAGGAAAGAAGAAAAATGTATGTCTAACCATACCACTTAAGATCAGCAATTAAGAAGTAAACATTACAGAGTCTTTAACTCGTACCACCAGAAAGAATCTCCAGAAAGTTGGCTCAGAACTCTTTCCTGATACCATCATGTAACACCACAACGAGGAAAGATCGTTCTACCCAAGAACCATTAGGGATTGGTACACCTTACCCTATTCAAGGACGTACATGTATATTGTTAGTTATACGTCCTTGTCCTATTCAGTGACATCTGTCAGTTGTCTTGAATCCTTCAAGAGACTCCCGACTAAAATCTCCAAGTCACTTGTTTTTAACTCTCCCACCTTTAGAAGTCGGAAATGTACACCTTACAATTAGATTGTAATCCCAATGTCTTGAATTCTGCGACTTTTGTCGCAGGGGAGACAAAAATCAATATATTTATATTATTGTGGGGCAGGTGCATCATTTTATGAGTTCACTCACAGTTCTAGTAGCTTGTAAATATTTGTTCCTTAAATTCTTGATATAATTATCAAAAATGTATCTCATGGTCGAATGTTTTTATGGTTTTTTGTGGTAATCAATCCATCTTTGTGATTTGATTATGCAATGCTTTAGAACTTCTGACTGGAATATGTAGAAATATTGTTTATCTTTATTTTGTATATTTTTCCTTTGATTTTTTTTTGTAATAATTTTTCATATCATGCTTCCCGCTTGATATAGAAAATTATCATCAGAAACTAAGAGCAAATGTGCCGTTGTCGATGTAAACATCAACAATGTCATAGGTAAAATAGCGCTAAAGATTATCAATGTTCTTTCAAACTCATGTTGCCCTTCGATGAGATTGTAGCTGAGAAACAACCTCATGTTTGACAAAACCATTGATAAACTATAAATATTCATACATATATACTTTAAATCATCCTCATTCATTTGGTGAAAAAGCAAAAATATCTTCTTCAACGACTTGGTACAGTTAAGTATTGGTATTTTTTTTTTTTTTTAGAATATTACCTTGCTGTTCGCAAAAGGCTTTTGATAAATACTATGTAAAAATTCTGATTAAAAGGCATCTACATTTAAAGCTTAGCTTTGCTATATCCAAATATATAAAGATTTTTTTGAGCTAGTGTGTGTGGTCCCTGAAATAGGAGGGCCAAAATTATGTCTTTGTACAATAACCTCTTACCTCTTACGTGACCAGTGCACCGAAATATTAAATAAAATCCAAATACTAATGTTTACTAACCGATCATGTGAATAAGTACCTGAGCAACAGATCTAATCCTCAAAACTTAACCCCTGCCCATCAATTCATGTCCGCCTACCTAATGTATTCATTGTTAATTTGTCCTTGTCCTAAATATGCATGGCATAATTGCCACTGGACTTTAGGCAAGCAACAATAAATCAATCAAAACTTAATCAAAATTCCAGTTATGTCCTTATTTGAATCTACATCCTAAATATTGTTGACCAAATGTCTTCTGATGTTGGGGGAGTCTCATCCTAGGATTGGTAAAAATTAGGCTAGATGCATTCCTCTAGATGTGTTTTAGTTATGTTTGTCATTGGATTGATGCACCATTAAAGTTAACCCCTCAGTTATGGCTTTTGATGTATTCCCCACATCCTTTATTCATAACTAGAGTAACAAGAGTGAGGATACCAATGGCAAAAGGCAAATATTATAGAAAGAAAAACTTCTCCTTTTATCACAATTATCCTCATCAGATTCAGATAATGGACTGGAATAAATGCTGGAAAAATAATTGACACTGAAAAATTAGGCAAATAAGGTCAAGGTTACAAAGTTACAGATATAACTAAATGATTTTCAAACCAAAGGCTCAATGGAGCCTGAATTGCTCACCTGGATTATTATGATTGAAAGGAAATTAATTGGTAACAAACAGCTTATCTGGTAAATGAGTTGTGAAAAGTATAGGGAACTAAATTAAACTGACTATATTATACAACCATTTTGATTTATAGTTTTACCCCACTTGGACACATTATTTACATTATTCTGACTCCAATCTGTGCTCTTAGTCTTTAAAAGACAAGTGCTTGGAGGAGAATATGCAAATATCAATTTTAGTCTTTGATTTGACCAGTCCGAGATTGAAACCCTGTTCTGCCGCACTGGATGATTCTTTAATCAATATGGCATGTTCCAAATAGTTGTATCAACAGTCAAAGGATAATTCTATCAGCATTTTATTTAACTTCTTTTAACATACAAAATAACGCAGAAAATGAAGGAATTTTGAAACAAAAACAGTAATTCTAAACACTGTTATATGGAAAATAACAAATTCTAATTAGTTTCATATCACTACAAAATGTTCATACAGTAATGAAAAGACAAATTCCTCAACTACAAAGCAGTCTATAATAAAGATGCCAGGTCAAAAGAAAATTTGCATTTTTAAAACAAAGGTAAATTTTCTTATTTGAGTTTTATTGCATTAATAAAGATAATAGTGCATAAATGTGTAAGTCTGCTGATGCTCAACACTTCAAACAATGCAATGTCATTAAACAGACCCACTTTCAAGGTGCAAGTTAGTGTCAATTCACAGTACCAATATAAAAATAGAAAGTAATAATTCTTAAATTCATTGAACTTGATCCCCCAAAGGTTGACTTGATAGAGTTTAACACTAATACCTTTAAAAATGTGACCATGTGACCATGAAAAGTGTGCAGCGGTCTCGTATTTTTAAATTTCAAACCTTTGACACAACTCTCATACATGTTTAAATATAACAACAAGAGTGCACACACTGAAATGTCTCGCCTTCTTTACTAATCATTGATATTATGTTGATAGTCCTAAATATAAAGCTTTACTACAACTATCACATACACTTAACATGATCCAAGAAAATGAGGTCAAGGTCATATAAACCAAACAAGAAATACATGTACACCTTACAATCATTCAATACACTAAATATAGTTGACCTATTGTTTATAGTTTCTAAGATACAGACTTAACCAAGAAAACTAAATATTGACCAATGAACCAAGAAAATGAGGTCAAGGTCAGATGAACAATGCCAGGCAGACATGAACTACAGCTTGCAATCCTTCCATACAACAAATATAGTTGTCCTATTGCTTATAGTATTAGAAAAACAGACCAAAACACAAAAACTTAACACTGAGCAATGAACCGTGAAAATGAGGTCAAGGTCAAATAAAACCTGCAAGACTGACAGGTACATCATAAAATATTTCCATACACCAAATATAGATGACCTATTGCATAAAGTATTAGAAAAAAAGACCAAAACTCAAAAACTTAACTTTGACCACTGAACCATGAAAATGAGGTCAAGGTCAGAAGACACCTGCCCGCTAGACATGTACACCTTACAATCATTCCATACACCAAATATAGTAGACCTATGGCATACAGTTTAAGAAAAACAGACCAAAACACAAAAACTTAACTATAACCACTGAACCATGAAAATGAGGGCAAGGTCAGATGACACCTGCCAGTTGGACATGTACACCTTACAGTCCTTCCATACACCGAATATACTAGACCTATTGCTTATAGTATCTGAGATATGGACTTGACCACCAAAACTTAACCTTGTTCACTGATCCATGAAATGAGGTCGAGGTCAAGTGAAAACTTTGTGACGGGCATGAGGACCTTGCAAGGTACGCACATACCAAATATAGTTGAACTATTGCATATAGTATTAAAAAAAAAGACCAAAACTCAAAAACTTAACTTTGACCACTGAACCATGAAAATGAGGTCAAAATCAGATGACACCTGCCTGCTAGACATGTACACCTTACAATCATTCCATACACCAAATATAATAGACCTATGGCATACAGTATAAGAAAAACAGACCAAAACACAAAAACTTAACTATAACCACTGAACCATGAAAATGAGGTAAAGGTCAGATGACACCTGCCAGTTGGACATGTACACCTTACAGTCCTTCCATACACCGAATATACTAGACCTATTGCTTATAGTATCTGAGATATGGACTTGACCACCAAAACTTAACCTTGTTCACTGATCCATGAAATGAAGTCGAGGTCAAGTGAAAACTGTCTGACGGGCATGAGGACCTTGCAAGGTATGCACATACCAAATATAGTTATCCTATTAATTATAATAAGAGAGAATCTAACATTACAAAAAATCTTAACTTTTTTTTCAAGTAGTCACTGAACCATGAAAATGAGGTCAAGGACATTGGACATGTGACTGACGGAAACTTCGTAACATGAGGCATCCATATACAAAGTATGAAGCATCCAGACCTTCCACCTTCTAAAATATAAACTTTTAAGAAGTAAGCTAACGCCGCCGCCGCCGGATCACTATCCCTATGTCGAGCTTTCTGCGACAAAAGTCGCAGGCTCGACAAAAATTATATTTGACGAGTTAATAAAAATAGGTGCATATCCCCACTCCCTATTTTTTTGCTTTCAATTTTCTATCTTAATGTTTTATAATCCAATGACTAGTGATTTTTTTTAAATTTCTGTTCTAAAATTTCACTTGCACCATCGCCGAAAAACATCAAACCTACAAAACAGGAAAAAGGCTTGGTATTTACAATAAATCATTCAGAACATTTCTGTCTCTTTGCGGCCGGCTTCATCTTTGATTTTCGTTTTCTCTTTTTTCTTTTCGTTCCTTTCTGTTTTCTCTTTCCTTTTCCCTTAAGCTGTTGTTTTTCAAATCTTTTCTTAGCTTTGTCAAACTGAGTTTTAAACCCCTCATTATCAGACTGTTTCCAAATGGGTACAAATGATCGAATTGGAGAATTCTGAAGTTCTTCTAAAGTCCAACCTCCTGGTAACTGATTCTCTTTATTTGTAGCCTTATGGTCAGGTGGAGTTTTAGCTGGGGACCAGTCATATTCATCACTGTATGAAGATTCTTCTGAACTACTTGTTGATTGATTGGCTCTGAAATAAAATATAATGTATGTAAATTTTTAAAACAAAGGAAATGCACATATTTTAACCCATGATATGACCAATATGAAGTCTGCTTATTAAATTCCATGTCATGACCATGTGAGTATGTGCTTATTTTAACATATGTGCTGCGTGGGATAGAAATCAACCTTATGCAAGTGCACATATACATGTACATGAATAAGACTTTGATTGATTTTGAGACATTCAAATATGAAATATAAGATGAATTTTGGTCTTTTCTGTAGGTTTCTTATAACAGCTCAAATTTGAAACAGTTACAGACTTTCCATAGAGATTTTTTCAACCCGATATAGGTTAACAGATATATTGATATCCATGAGCATAGTTAGGTCGATTTCTATTCCATGCAGCCCATATGGTATCGCTAGAAAAAGTTCAATGAATGTCATCAAATTTTTATGACTGGATTTTTGTAGATGTTTTATGACCATTGATATGTGACACTTTAATAAATAAACATATTATCACATTTTTGTATTTGAATTTTTCTAAAATTTGTTTCTCTAGTTTTTATTTTGTTAACTTTTTAAAGTTCAGCTAATTAGCTATTAAAAATTTCACAACAACCTACTTTATAACATCTCTGAGAGTAACTCTCTCTTCTTCACTGCCTGTAATGATATAGATAAAATTATCAAAGTTAAATAGAAAAGCCATTTCTCTATAATACTCATTTTAACACTCGATCACTCAATAGCTTATCAAACAAACAAAAAAAAGCTGCTACAAGTCAATAAATAATATGTATGATAAATAGATGTCCTTTAGGAAACACAACAGAGTGCAGAAAACCAAGAAACTTGGCAAAACTTTTAGGAATTTTGAGTGCTGAATGCTCTGCAACTTCGTTTCTTTTAAACCTTTTTGTTTCAAATGTCACTGATGAGTCTTTCTTAGACGCAATGCACATCTGGCGTACCAAATTTCAATCCTGGTATCTACAATGAGTTTATTTGCATAAGTTGTGTTAATCAACAAACATACAACTGTAGTCTTTTTTTTATTATAAAACTCTTCACATACTACTTCTGTTTATTTTGGTTAAAATTGGTACAGTGGTTTTATATATGGCGAACATGTAAATTGTCTAACAATGCATTGACTACAGATTGACTGTCTGACAGACAACTGACTTAAAGTGATAACTATATTAAAGGGAAACTTTTATTTCTTTAAATACACAATCTAATGGTTCTTTAAAAAAAACAAGAGTGCACACCCTGAAATGTCTCACCTTCTTTACTAATCATTGATATTATGTTGATAGTCCTAAATATAAAGCTTTATTACAACTGTCACATAAACTTAACAATAACCAAGAAAACTAAACATTGACCAATGAACCATGAAAATGAGGTCAAGGTCAGATGAACCATGCCAGGCAGACATGTACAGTTAACAATTCTTCCATATAACAAATATAGTTGACCTATTGCTTATAGTTTAAGAAAAACAGACCAAAACACAAAAACTTAACACTGAGCAATGAACCGTGAAAATGAGGTCAAGGTCATATAAAACCTGCGTGACTGACATATAGATCATAAAATATTTCCATACACCAAATATAGTTGACCTATTGCATATAGTATTAGAAAAAACAGACCAAAACTCAAAAACTTAACTTCGACCACTGAACCATGAAAATGAGGTCAAGGTCAGATGACACCTGCCAGCTAGACATGTACACCTTACAATCATTCCATACACCAAATATAGTAGACCTATTGCATACAGTATAAGAAAAACAGACCAAAACACAAAAACTTAACTATAACCACTGAACCATGAAAATGAGGTCAAGGTCAGATGACACCTGCCAGTTGGACATGTACACCTTACAGTCCTTCCATACACCGAATATACTAGACCTATTGCTTATAGTATCTGAGATATGGACTTGACCACCAAAACTTAACCTTGTTCACTGATCCATGAAATGAGGTCGAGGTTTAGTGAAAACTGTCTGACAGGCATGAAGACCTTGCAAGGTACGCACATACCAAATATAGTTATCCTATTACTTATGATAAGAGAGAATTTAACATTACAAAAAATCTTACTTTTTTTTCAAGTAGTCACTGAACCATGAAAATGAGGTCAAGGACATTGGACATGTGACTGACAGAAACTTCGTAACATGAGGCATCTATATACAAAGTATGAGGCATCTATATACAAAGTATGAAGCATCCAGGTCTTCCACCTTCTAAAATATAATGCTTTTAAAAAGTTAGCTAACGCCGCCGCCACCGCCGGATCACTATCCCTATGTCAAGCTTTCTGCGACAAAAACAACATTTTGAATTAAGTGAAAATTATTAGCTGACCATTCACATATTTTCACTTGTACTATAATTGTCAGGCATAAGAGATTTCCCATGAAAACATACATGGGACACATAGAAGGTAATTTTAATATTAAAACTATAGATGGGTGTCAAATACTTATAAGTTCAGTTAAACAAGAGTGCACACGCTGAAATGTCTCGCCTTCTTTACTAATCATTGATATTATGTTGATAGTCCTAAATATAAAGCTTTATTACAACTGTCACATAAACTTAACATTAACCAAGTAAACTAAACATTGACCAATGAACCATGAAAATGAGGTCAAGGTCAGATGAACCATGCTAGGCAGGCATGTACAGCTAACAATTCTTCCATACAACAAATATAGTTGACCTATTGCTTATAGTTTAAGAAAAACAGACGAAAACACAAAAACTTAACACTGAGCAATGAACCTTGAAAATGAGGTCAAGGTCAAATAAAACCTGCGTGACTGACATATAGATCATAAAATATTTCCATACACCAAATATAGTTGAACTATTGCATATAGTATTAGAAAAAAAGACCAAAACTCAAAAACTTAACTTTGACCACTGAACCATGAAAATGAGGTCAAGGTCAGATGACACCTGCCAGCTAGACATGTACACCTTACAATCATTCCATACACCAAATATAGCTGACCTATTGCATGCAGTATTAGAAAAAAAGACCAAAACTCAAAAACTTAACTTTGACCACTGAACCATGAAAATGAGGTCAAGGTCAGATGACACCTGCCAGCTAGACATGTACACCTTACAATCATTCCATACACCAAATATAGTAGACCTATTGCATACAGTATAAGAAAAACAGACCAAAACACAAAAACTTAACTATAACCACTGAACCATGAAAATGAGGTCAAGGTCAGATGACACCTGCCAGTTGGACATGTACACCTTACAGTCCTTCTATACACCGAATATACTAGACCTATTGCTTATAGTATCTGAGATATGGACTTGACCACGAAAACTTAACCTTGTTCACTGATCCATGAAATGAGGTCGAGGTCAAGTGAAAACTGTCTGACGGGCATGAGGACCTTGCAAGGTACGCACATACCAAATATAGTTATCCTATTACTTATAATAAGAGAGAATTTAACATTACAAAAAATCTGAACTTTTTTTTCAAGTAGTCACTGAACCATGAAAATGAGGTCAAGGACATTGGACATGTGACTGACGGAAACTTCGTAACATGAGGCATCCATATACAAAGTATGAAGCATCCAGGTCTTCCATCTTCTAAAATATAAAGCTTTTAAGAAGTTAGCTAACGCCGCCGCCGCCGCCGGATCGCTATCCCTATGTCGAGCTTTCTGCGACAAAAGTCGCAGGCTCGACAAAAAGTAAGTGAAATTATAAAATTGCCTCTATAGGTCATTACCTCAAGTGCCTTCTCTGCAGGGTTACCATGTATGCTTTCCTGAAAAATCTCTTATGACTGACAATTAATTGCAAATGCAAATAAACCACCACCATTTATGATTTGAATATATTGAACCTGATGAGTACCCTTCATGTGGCTCCATTGTCCTAGCTGATCTGGTTGCACGTTTTGGAGGTGGGATCTCCCCAGGTTCTAATGTAGAATCCAGTCCTCTTGTATCAATCTCATGCTGCATCTGTCGCGCTTCATCTAAACATTTTTCCACATGTTGGTCCAACATTTTCTTATTTCTAAATGACTTGTCACAAATATAGCATTCCATACTAAAAGACCTATAAATAGCATTTAATTATCAGGTTTTCCCAATTTTGAATATTTTAAAATGTATCTAAAACTGGAGTTAAAATTCATTACATTCACAAAGCTGTAGCAAGAGAAAGTTAATAAGATCAATATATAAATATGTCTCCTTTCATAAACAACCAACATCTAAAGTGGATATTTTCTTCTATTCTTACCAAACTCTTTTATAAGGTCATATCAAAATTTGATAAAAAAAAAAAAAATAAAAAAATAAAACAAGACTGAAGATTGCTTCTTCATATGATGCCCATATGCATTTAAACTGGACCACAATAAGGAACTATAACTTAAAGACTAAAAGGATGTGATGAAATATGTTGATATTAATTAATAAAGAGATGTGCCATGAGGGCATGATATGCTCGTCACTTTTTCAACGAATAAAGTTCCATAACTCCTCAATGTCATATCAGAAATTTATAAAAAAACTAAAGGGATCTGTACTTATTGCCTTTTTATTGTTTGGGATGAGGGATGGATAAAAATACCCTGCTAGGTCCGGTCTGTGTTTTTGTTTGATGTTTTTCTGCTTTGTGATGTGATTAGTTAAGCCTTTTTCAACTGATTTTTATAGTTTGTTCTTATGTTGTGATGTTACACCACTGTCCCAGGTTAGGGGAGGGTTGAGCGCTCACCAACATGTTTCACCCAGCCACATTCTTTATGTGCCTGCCCCAAGTCAGGAGCCTATAGTTCAGTGGTTGTCGTTAGTTCATGTCTGTCATATTTGCTTTTTGTAAATTGTTTGTTATAAATTAGGATGCAAGTTTTCTTAATTGAATTGTTTCATATTTTTCATGTCAGGGCTTTTTATAGCCAACTATACAATATGGGTTTTTCTCATTGTTGAAGGCCGTACGGTTGCCTATAATTGCTTACATCCACTTCATTTGAACTTTGGTGGATACTCGTCTCATTGGCAATCAAACCACATCTCTTTATTTTTATAATATTCTAATAGATATAAACCAGTCACCAAAGTTTAATGAAAACTGCTCAAAACATTTTTGAGTTATTGTCTGAAAACGAAAATATCCCTTTTTTTATGTATAAAATCCCATAACTCTGAAATGTAAAATCTAATTAAGTAGAGAACAGAAACTAAAAATTCAGCAATTTTTCTATTTGTGAACACGCATAACTCTAGAACGGTTGTGTATATGTTTTATAACATTTGGTTGAGACAAACTTAAGTAAGAGAACGGAAACAAAAATTTGTTATGTTAATAAAGGGACATAACTCAAGAATGGTAAAAGTGATGCCACCAAATTTCGTACATAATCTGTATTATGTAGTAATAAGCATTGTGTATAAGTTTCATAACATTTGGTTGTGGCAAACTAAAGTTAGAGAACGGAAACAAAAAAATTGTACTTTATCTTAGTTTTGTGGTAATGAATATTGTGTATATAGGTTTCATAATGTTTGGTTGGGGCAAACTTAAGTTACAGAATGGAAACTAAAAATTTTGCAATCTTTCGATTTATTAAGGGGCATAACTCAATAATGGTTAAAGTGACACTACCCAAATTCAACTTGATCTGTGTTTTATCAGTGGAAGGCAAAATTAAACATTGCATTGTATAAAGCATTGATTGTAGTTGATTCAACTATAATCATGGACAAAGGAAGATAACTCCAAATTTAAAAATTACTTGAATAATGACATTGATATTTTTAGAAATTACATTTAGTTTTAAGACAAACTCAAGTTAGAGAATGGAAACGAAAAATTCAGCAATTTTTTCATTTGTAAAGGGGCATTACCCTAGAACGGTAATCAAACAGCTTGTAAGCACTGAATGGTAAAGATTGCTTTAATTTATCAGTAGGAAGTAAAATTGAATATTGCATTGTATAAAGCATTGGTTGTAGTTGATTCAACTACCATTATGCACAAAGAAAGATATTTCCAATTTTCAAAGAAGACTTTGAAATATTTTTAGGAATGAAGGGTAAAAATTATAAAAATTGAAAGGGAGCTTACGTCAATAGATATAAACAATTCAACAAAGTTTCATGAAAATTGGTTAAAGCTTTTTTGAGTTATTGTCCGACATGTTGACGACAACGGACAGAGGTATACCATAATACATCCCGTCAACAGGTGTATAAAAATATGTAAGTTTCACCTGAAAGTTCTATAGGAAAGTTTCACTACAATGTATTTCTTTCAACATAGAATAAGTCAATATTATTAAAATAATAGACTTTGCTGAATCAGTACAAAAACACATTAATCTTTTATCAGAACAGAACATAGAAACTTACTTTCTTGGACTTTCTTCTTCACTTTCCCCTTCGTCAACTATGAAATCTGCATCTTGATCTGAAATGAAAAAACCTTGTAACAAATTGTCTCAAAATATCAGCTTCAAGGTCCAACATTTAACACTAATTTTCAAAATTATTAACAAGACTGAATTAGTTTGGAAGTATTCAACTGGCAAATGAAGCCTTTCTTGAATGACGTATTAGACAAAGAAATATAAATGAGGGTCTGGATGGGGGATCCTTCATTTCTGTATTCTCTAATTATTTAGGCCATTTTTCTCTATTCTTCATATTTTTTGCCCATTATTCTCTATTCTTTATTTTTTTGGACCATTTTTCTCTATTCTTTATAGTTCATTTATAGTACTTTTATAACTTGTGGGAACATTGCATCAAACCTTGGGGAAATTTTCATCACATCTTTTAGACAACCCATACAGAAAACATTGTTTTTGTATTCAGCACCTAAAAACAATTCTTGCAGAAAATTTGACACTTCTGAACACCATGTTTTACATTGTTCTACTGTCACATCACTTTTGTGGAATGAAACAGAGGAAAAAAACTTGCTTGATTAGAAGAAAATTAAATGTGTCAGTGTGATATGAATGCATACTTTATAACCTGATCTGAAGTCATCACTATATACACAAGGCATTAAAATTAGATCAATATCACCAAGCACAATGAAAAAGGTCAGGATAACTATACAGAATGACTGAAGAATGGAAGGACAGACATGGGTAACACAAATTGCTCCATCAAACAAGTGACAGAGGTGTAACAAGTGAAACTGTAAGCTACTGCTCACTGATGATACCCCCGCCCAAATACTTGATGGTAAACAGGAAGTTGTTGAGTGATGAATCTGAAAACACATCACATGGTATAGCTGACTTATATCAACCCTGAAACCAAATTTCAGAAATCCTTGTAGTGTAGTTCCTGAGAAAGATGCGACAAAATATATTCATGGGACGGATGGACAGAGGTAAAACAGTATATCCCCACTTTTTTAAAGCAGGGGTATAAAAATTTAGCATCATTTCAAATGTTAATCCAATCTTGGTTTAAAATTATATGATCAGTATGATACTGTGAGATGATAAAAATCTGATATAAAACGTTTTGAATAATGTTGCAATTGTTCTCTTTTATATGACTAGTCTTTGCAAGACTGTAAAATATACCTAGTTTCTTGCTTGCTCTTCCCGCTTGTATCTCTTGTATTTGTACACTATCTGTGGATTCTCTCGAGTTCTCATCTGAAAGCATAATGTTGAGAAACATAAAAGATCAACAAAATCTCAGGCATGAACACAAGATGTCTAGCATTAAAAATTTAAATTTTACACGAGTTGGAAATATGATCCTAGGTAAGGCCACCTTTAAATAATTCTTTGTTTGATGTTGCCTACCCATGCCTTGTTGGGTTGGGTAGGTAGGTAGGGATTTTATCTTTTTTTTAGGCCAACAACATAAGTTACATGTTTTAGACAAGAAAACAACGTTAGAGCAGAAAATCTTTAAAAAAAAAAAATTGAAACAATTTGTGTCATAAAATTTTTCCGGTAGGCAGCTTTTTAGGTGGGTTGGTAGTCAAAATTAAAGAATTTAAATTTTATTTTTGGCCTAACTGTTCATTACAGAAATAACTATCAAATATTAAGAAAGAAAATGGAGAACCTAATCTGAATATTAAACAAACATGATGTTAAACTTGTCTTTAGTAATAAACATATTTCAAATAAATATTCAAGACTTGTAAAATGTTCAAAGTTTTATTCCTGCTAGTGTTTATAGAACAAAATATATTTATAAAATCCTGCTACAGGGATCATCAGATGCAAAGGTAGGATTTTATATAGAATTTGTCAGTTTTTTGAGGAAATATGTGTTGAACAAATTTATTAATGAGATTCAATCAATGCACTTAAATAACATCTGAAAGTTTAATTACCATCCACAGGACCATTACAATCTGCTGCATGGTTCTCTATCTGATCCTGAGGAAACTGTTTGTTACACAGAGGACATGGTACTGTGATCATCTACAATGAAATTAATCTACTGATTCCTGACTAGTCAAACATGTTATATCAGTTTTCTGTAAATTAATCATTTGCAAGACAGAATATACTACAGGTTCTTTTAGTTCAAATGCTACCTTAAGGCTGAAAATCGTCAACAAGTTGCAACTTTAATGAGGGGATAAACTTAATTATGTAGAAAATAGAATTTTGAAAGAAGATTTCATTGAATAAGAAAAAACTAGAGGCTCTAAAGAGCCTGTGTTGCTCACCTTGGTATATGTGCATATTAAACAAAGGACAAAGATGGATTCATGACAAAATTGTGTTTTGGTGATGGTGATGTGTTTGTAGATCTTACTTTACTGAACATTCTTGCTGCTTACAATTATCTCTATCTATAATGAACTTGGCCCAGTAGTTATAGTGGAAAATGTTTTGTAAAAATTTACAAAAATTTACAAAATTTATGAAAAAATTGTAAAAAATTGACTATAAAGGGCAATAACTCCTTAAGTATCAATTGACAATTTTGGTCATGTTGACTTATTTGTAGATCTTACTTTGCTGTACATTATTGCTGTTTGCAGTTTATCTCTATCTATAATAATATTCAAGATAAAAACCAAAAGCTGCAAAATTTTCTTAAAATTACCAATTCAGGGGCAGCAACCCAACAACGTGTTGCCTGATTGGTCTGAAAATTTCAGGGCAGATAGGTCTTGACCTGATAATCAGTTTTACCCAATGTCAGATTTACTCTAAATGCTTTGGTTTCAGAGATATAAGCCAAAATCTACATTTTACCCCTATGTTCTATTTTTAGCCATGTCGGCCATCTTGGTTCACGGGTGGGGTCATCAGACACATTTTTTAAACTATATACCCTAATGATGATTGTGTAAAAGTTTGGTTAAATTTGTCTTAGTAGTTTCAGAGGAGAAGATTTTTGTAAAAGATTACAAAAATTTACGAAAAATGGTTAAAAATTGACTATAAAGGGCAATAACTCCTTAAGGGGTCAACTGACCATTTTGGTCAAGTTGACTTAATTGTAGATCTTACTTTGCTGAACATTATTGCTGTTTACAGTTTATCTCTATCTATAATAATATTCAAGATAATAACCAAAAACGACAAAATTTCATTAAAATTACCAATTCAGGGCAGCAACCAAACAACGACTTGCCTGATTGGTCTGAAAATTTCAGGGCAGATAGATCTTGACCTGATAAACAATTTTACCCAATGTCAGATTTGCTCTAAATGCTTTGGTTTCAGAGATATGAGCCAAAAACTGCATTTTACCCTATGTACTATTTTTTAGCCATGTCGGCCATCTTAGTTCGTGGGCGGGGTCATCGGACACATTTTTTAAACTATATACCCTAATGATGATTGTGGACAAGTTTGGTTAAATTTGTCTTAGTAGTTTCAGAGGAGAAGATTTTTGTAAAAGATTACAAAAATTTACGAAAAATGGTTAAAAATTGATTATAAAGGGCAATAACTCCTTAAGGGGTCAACTGACCATTTTGGTCATGTTGACTTAATTGTAGATCTTACTCTGCTGAACATTATTGCTGTTTACAGTTTATCTCTATCTATAATAATATTCAAGATAATAACCAAAAACGGCAAAATTTCCTTAAAATTACCAATTCAGGGGCAGCAACCCAACAACTGGTTGTCAGATTCATCTGAAAATTTCAGGGCAGATAGATCTTGACCTGATAAACAATTTTACCCATGTCAGATTTGCTCTAAATGCTTTGGTTTCAGAGATATAAGCCAAAATCTACATTTTACCCCTATGTTCTATTTTTAGCCATGGCGGCCATCTTGGTTGGTTGACCGGATCACCGGACACATTTTTTAAACTAGATACCCCAATGATGATTGTGACCAAGTTTGGTTAAATTTGACCCAGTAGTTTCAGAGGAGAAGATTTTTGACGGACGACGGACGCAAAGTGATGAGAAAAGCTCACTTGACCTTTCAGGTCAGGTGAGCTAAAAATGGGGTTACAAATCTTGTTTTACTGTAATTCATCAAAAAAGGGTAAAAACACAGTACAAATAAATAACTAGTATATCACTTTCTAAATTAACATCCTAATTGCTTATTTTAACAAATCATTAATATTTAAAACGACTGTAAACCAGTTTATCTGACAAAAGTATAGCACTATCAATATTACACCATAGAACAATAACAGATAAATTTCTCTTACTTTTGGTTGTTTATTTGGTTCAGTATCTTCAGTAGTTAATTGTCTCTTTCTTCCTTGTTTCTTGCTGTAAGTTTTGATGCCTAAAAATCATCAAAAATGTATAATATTGATCTATGATTTTGGTTTGTCTAATAAATAAACCAATATTCTTTAATGTAAAAATGTTGTCCTGTGACGTCGATAAATCTTTTTGATAATTTTTTTGTCAAAAATGTACTTTTATTTAAAATTTTCCCAAAGCCCAAATGTGGAAATGTTTACAATGTTACTTTTTTTCAACTTCAGTTATTCTGTGATGATGTAGTTATGAAATTAAAAACAGTTATTAGTAAAAATATGTTTTTCCTAATATTATGATAGGGTAGTGTTTTTCTTTCAACTGCTATGCTTGCATTACTAGATTACAGTACAGAAATTCTGAAGTCAATTCTACAGTTGGATTTTTGAATGATGCAATCGATCTTACCTTCTGTCTTCATATTGATCTGTTGTATATCAGTCTCATTAACGTCATTGGTCTGTTGAAATCTTTGTGTTTCTGTATACAAGTCATCATCATCACCAAAAGATTTCTTCCTGATATGTGAACCTTGAGGATCTTGGCTATTCTTTGATTTACTGCTAGAACTTTTGTCGCCTGACCCCAACTTAAACATGTCACTCATATGTCCAAACAATCTTGACTTTAAAGTTGACTGCTGCCCTACGGGCTCTGTATTCTTCACAGTTTTCTGCGATGATTGGATTATCATTATTTTTGCATTCGTTGTCTTACCAATTTGTTTTGGACTTGCTTGACTAGTATGATCCTCACTTTGTTTTGGTAAGATTGGTCTGAAATTTGATTGTGTAGAACCACCTTCAACATTATGAGAAGTATTTGGTGATATTGTTTCCCTTTCCTGGTTTGATCCATTTCTTGAATTCTGGGATAGATACTGAACACTGTCATCATCAATGATATCCAAATTAAAACTGGACTTACTGACAGGTACCCTGGCTCGCTTTTCTTTCATAGAACATAATTGTGTTGAGTACAATTGGCCTTCTGCATCTAACAGCACATCTGATTTTTGACTGAGGCCACCAAGGGATAATTCGGGAGACCTACTTGAGGCTCTGTCAGGATTTAACAAATTGTTCATGTCATCTGACTTGAAACTTTCCACACTACCTGTGCTTAAGTCACTAGCATGCCTCTTTAGTGATCCTCTAGTAACTTTCTTCGCATTTGTTGTCTTGTCACTGACATTTGACCTTTTCCTTGAACTTTTAGTTTCTGGCTTTTCTAGCACTTCACCATTTCCTTCATTGTTTTGCTTTTTTAATTTAAAGTTTCTTTTACCTTTTCCAACAAATCTATCATCAAAGTCATTACTACTTTCATCTTCGATTAAAGGACAATATTTAGTATCACTTTCGTTATATAACTTCCGTTTCTTTCCCTTTTCAGTACTAACTTTAAAAGTTTCATCAACTGGGTATGGCTCAAAATCGAATGCTGATTTCTCTTTAGTAAAAGTATCTGTATTTCTAGTTCTACCACTTCTTAATCCAGGTTTAGATGTGAATGTGTCTACGAACTGATTAATCTCTTCATCAGCATTATGAACTTTTTGTTCCTTTCTAATTTTGCAAGAGAAATTTTTGGCAACTGGCCTTTGTGGGTTGCTGTTTTCCTTCATGTCTACAACAATTGGTATGACAGATGTTGAAGCATCTGATCATCGAGGAAGTCATAATTCAACCCTCGCTTTCTGGCGTCAATAGTATTGTCTAGATGAAATCCAACTCTGACCGGTTCTTTTGACCATTTTACGCAATTTTTTGATATTTTTTGTAATCGAGCAAGTCTGTTATGGTAAAGTGTAAATAACTGCAGAATTGCTTTAGTGTAGTCTTTAGGATTACTGTCTAAAGGTGCAAATAAGGTTGGTGTTGACTCTTCCTGAAAAAAAAAAAAACAGTAAAAAAAAGACCTTTATTTACTATTATGAAAAAATGTTGTACATATTTGAGAGCTAGCCAAAAGCATCACCTTACTTTTTCTGTTGCTTGACAAACATGCCAGCTTTCCAAATGATTACTAGTTTATAAACATATATATGTAAATATTGACATTCTTGTGAACTAGCACGTTAAAAATCCAGGTCAATTTGTCAGTCTAGTATAAAGCAGGCTAAATTATTTATTTTGTAAAAATATTTCCTTTCTCTATTTGAACTGTACACGTATACCTAACAACAAAATTATTTTCATTTACCTGTGTTTAAAGTAATTGCAAATGGCTGATATTTTTGTTCGAGCATATTGTTTTTCTTAAATTGTTTAACATTTCATAGCGGTATAACATGGTACTTTTATTATTCTTCCCTTAGTTTATTTACTTTTATATTAACATTGTATCATAGGTCAAATTTATTTGTTCAGTGTATGTTCACTGGTGTTAATATGTCCTTTGATTGAGTTAAGCTATTTCAGTTGATATTTTATAGTGTGTCTTTCTATGTTGTGATGTTACACTATTGTTTCAGAAAAAGGGTGAAGGTTTGGTACCATTACAGCTCTTCTATAAAAGCATGCAAAGCAAACCTTTGATCAACTTGCTTGCTATGTTTGTTTGGATATTTGTAAACAAAAGGTAGGTAGTCTGTTTCAGTCTGTTTACTATATAATGGAATTTGATTGGACAATAAACATTAACTTCTTGCATGTCAATTTTTATTGTCCAATCAAATCCCAGTATATATAAAACAGACTGAAACTCTGCCTACCTATTGTTTGCAAACATCCAAGCAAACATAGCAAGTAAGTTGATCAAAGGTTTGCTTTGCATGCTTTTATAAAAGAGCTGTAAAACGTTTAAACCCTCTGCATTTGTTTGCACCTGTCCTAAGTCAGGAATCTGATGTTCAGTAGTTGTCGTTTGTTGATGTGGTTCATGAGTGTTTTATATAGATTAGACTGTTGTTTTTCCCTTTTGAATGGTTTTACACTAGTAATTTTTGGGGCCCTTTATAGCTTGCTGTTCAGTGTGAGCCAAGGCTCCGTGTTGAAGACCATACTTTGACCTATAATGGTTTACTTTTATAAATTTTGACTTGGATGGAGAGTTGTCTTATTGGCACTCATACCACATCTTCTTATATCTATTCATATTCATATCACATTATCATGTTCTCGTCCTGAATATGTATCTAGTTTGCCTCTGGATGTTAAACAGCCATCCATCCATCCTACAGAAACTTTAAAATATCCAATATGTATTTCTTAATAAAATGCTCCGCTGGGCGCAGCTTGATACGACCACAGAGGTCGAACCCTGAACAGTTGGGGCAAGTATGGACACAACATTCAAGCTTGATACAGCACTGAATTTGGATTGTGATTAAATATTTGACACAGCATAGGTTTCTGACACAGAATGAATGTGGTCTAAGAACTTAAAATTTTTTAATTTACCTTTTCAAACCATATCATTATTATTTGCTTTTATATATAAATCAGAAATAACCAATTTAAAATGGAAAATCTTTTGAACCCCCTTATGATTCATCACCCCCAAACTCAATCCCAGCCTTCCCTTTGTGGTATGGTACCTTGAAGTACAATTTCAGAGAGATCCATACACTTGAACACAAGTTATTGTCTGGAAACTAGAAAAATGCTTATTTTTGGCCCCTTATTCCTAAACGTTTTGGGCAATTACCCCCTAACTCAATTCCAGCTTTCCCTTTGTGATATGGAACCTTGTAGTACAATTTCAGAAAGATCCATACACTTACACACAAGTTATTGTCATGAAACTAGAAAAACGCTTGTTCTTGCCCCTTTTTTGGCCCCTAATTCCTAAAATTTGAGGCAATTACCCCCAAAATCAATCCCAGCATTCCCTTTGTGATATGGAACCTTGTGGTACAATGTCAGAGAGATCCATACACTAACACACAAGTTATGTCTGGAAGTTACAAAAATGATTATTTTTGGCCCCTTTTTGGCCCCCAATTCCTTAACTGTTGGTTCCATAACCCCCAAAATCAATCCCAACCTTACTTTTGTGGTATTGAACCTTATGGTAAAATTTCATAGAGATCCATTCACTTAAACTAAAGTAAGAGTGCGAAAACCAATGTGTCTTAGGACGACGACGCCGCCGCCAACGTCATACCAATATACGACCGCAAAATTTGTTTGCGGTCATATAAAAATAGTTACTTACTCAGTACAAATAAACTGATGCAAAGAAAATAATTATTATTATGTTTTCATATCTACTACCATGCCTACTGAATATGATATGCTATCTAAAACTGGATATTCTTCTGAAAGCTATCATAGTTTTAGGTGATACATCATAGAAAATCTGAAACATACTTACTCTTTTCTTGACATTTCTGTTTTTTTACCATTTTATGAAAAAGAATTAATACACAGTTGAAATATAGATGTTTATCAAATTAAATAGTATAAATATGCAGGTAAAAAAATGTCACAAAATTTTTTTCACAGAAAATATTTACATAATACATTAGTGGATAAAGTTTCTTAAGTCACTGCATTGGTATTTATGCAAGTAATCAATTGAACCAATGTAGATGATCGCCATAGGACTATAAACTTCATAGAATTCATACTTTTTCAGTTTATACATAAATTCCATGTTTGACATAATCAAATTGATATTGTATGGTTCTAATTGGCATATATCCGCAGACTTAACAAAGTGTATAAGTCAGTCAAAGACCAGCTTAGTTATTTGATAAACACATTTTCCAATACCTGATATTTACTTGACAACGATAGAATGGGAACGGAGACAGTTTTGCAAAATCCGTGTATTTTTATCAAGCATTATCGAGTTTAAACAGTTCTTTCCACGTTATTTCTTTGGGAAAATACTTGAGATGAACGTAAAATAATGGTATAAATGACATTTTTATCGTTTTGGATGAATTCAGACGCATTATTAAATAATAAATATCATACTTGTGCACACTTGTAATATTTCAATCGACGTGGTTCCGTCTGTTATACTTTTTAAACACCTTAGTAAATAAATGATCTTTTTGTTTTAAATACGATTTTCTGATAGTCTAAATCAGTTTTGCTAAAATTGGTTAGATTTAAACCAGGAATGTTTTTAATTCTAATAAAAAAAAAAAAACTTCCAAAAAGATCTATTGATGTCCGGTACAAATAGTTTACCTGACACAGGTGATCACAGGTAAATCTCACCTGTTACGACACTCCTTAACCTTGATTGTAATGAGACAGGATTATAGAAGGGCTTGTTTATAAGAGTACTGTCACTAATATGACCGCAAAAGTGTGGCTGTTTACGGCACAAGGTCAAGTCAAAATGGTTTGATTTTTCTGAATTACACAAATGTTGAAATGGCAAACCCACGTAGGATATTCAACTCATGCTTGGCCCAGACGGACAATGTCTGATAAATTTACATTTGTCCCGCAAATGTGACCGACCAACCATTTTGGGAGCCCCGTCATGAACATAGATAACATATAATTTTCCCAATCCTGGTTATTCACCTAAAATTCTCCATAAAGGAATTTATTTTTATTCATCAACTCATAAAATTTCACAAAATTACTACACTGAAAATGGCTTCTCCATGTCCATTCAAAGATCTTACATGCAATTTTTGTATGCCACACAATGATTATGTTTAACCGATTCAACTGGTTGTTAATTTTAATAGATAAGAACTATTGTAATTTGCACTATTTATGATTAACTAAATTATACCTGTAATGTCTTTTCAGAGAAGGAAACTTATAAAACTCTTCTGTAACAGGTTCATCCTATAAAGAACAAGCATTTATTATATATGGAACTGATACCATGTTACTGACTATAAATTAATATAATTCAGATGATAGCAATAAAACTCATAAAATTAAAGCTAATGAAAAGAACAGTTTCTAATGTCTTCAGCTATGACAAATATTTTTATGTTAAAGGGAAGTAACTCAAAAAAAAAAATTTTGGTCCTTCAAACTATCTAACAAGAAATATAGGTGCGACAACTATTGCAATTATCCATATATAATTTATATTAAGAAGGAGCATAAATCCTATAAAAAAGTTGATCAGCATTGATTATGGCTCTCATCTGAGAAATAGCTGAGGGCTGTACCATAAAAACATACATGGTACCCAGGGAAAGCACTTTAATAATGGGGTAACCACCATTTTCGCTAGCCAAGGGGTACGATCCAGTCACCTCCTCTCCACCCTTGGCAGATTAAGCCAACATTTGTGATTACAATGCTGTGCCCTCTACCGGCAGACAAAAGTCCCGCCGATTCCGACTACATCATTCTTGACCAACGGCAGCACTTGAACTCTCTTCTATGGTAGAGTAAAAATGGTTGTGTCTAGTGTTTACAAATTTTCGTGAATCAGGATCCGAAAATGTATGTTGACATTCCAAGATTTGCGTAAAAAACATACACAGGAACCTCAATTAGTTGCTCTAAAATTGTCACAAAGTATCATCCTATATTTTGGGAGTAAAGATTTGTTGCACAATCAGCACATGGCAATTGTTTATTTACGTTTTCTACATTTACAAGTGATCATCTCAAAGGCACTTTTTGATTGGATGCAGCCAGTTACAACTGCGACCAATGAAAACCTTTATCTCATGGATCCTTAATTCGATCTTAATCAACCAAGGATGGAGAAGAGGGGACTGGATCGTAATCCTTGGCTAGCGAAGATGGGCCACCTATATAGGCATATTTGGAATTTAGATTATATATTTCCACTTTACTTGACACCCACCCATAGTAGAAATGGGTGAAACTTAACTTTGTAAGGCCAGTAGCCAGCTGGGCTACTAGATTTGAAAATCAGTTAGCCCAGACAAAAAGTTAGTAGCCCACTTTATTTCACTGTATCACTGGTAAAGCCCGCGAAGCGGGCTCAACTGGCTAGGGGGGTTTGGGGGCATGCCCCCCCATGATAATTTTGAAATTTTAGACTCAAAACCCTGCATTCTGAGCTTACCTGGAGGTGATTTAGATGCTTGGGAAAATGTAAATTTTGTCTTATTTTTGTTGTTGACTTCAATCAAATTTAATAAAAAAAAAATCATTTACAAAATGGGAATCTTCATACCCATGTGTACCAGTTTTTTTTTTAATATCTTTTTAAGACAACTAAAGAATTCCCTGTCCTTAAATACATGTAGATGATCGATGAAATATTTAAATCTATTTCTTTAATAATCTAATTTATTAAATATCTTGATTGATTTATTTTGCGTAACTACGTACATTTGTAAACAAATGACCCACCTTTTTTCTCAAAAGACTTGTACACGTATTTCAAAAGCATTGTCATAAAATTGATATCTCCTCTGATTTTCTCTTTTTTGTAAACTGTTCAGTAAGTAGGAAACTAAAATCATTTTGAACTAATGTTATTTATTTGTGGTCGACAATATTCTACTTTCGTTTTTGACCTTCATTCTCTGGACACCACGTGGGCTTTGAAAAGGGAACTACAAAAGGTACTGTTTTCCAGATTCTTAACAACATTATATATTATACGTTCTTTTATTTGACTGATATTATTTCATAACATGCTATTGTCATCTTCTCTGAATTTCTTCGCTTTCTTGAAGCCAAAACCGAACAGGGTATTTGATCGCTTCATATTGTAAATGACCATTGGAACGTCTCTCTTGTTATCCTTGCAAACATACAATACTTTCCGTACTTTAAATAGACGACCAATCAGTGACCTGAATTAACGTGAACTATATTTAGTCAAAGGTAAACACTGATTTTACATCCTTGTTTATCACGACCGTGACTTTGCGACAATACGACTATCGACACTTGCCTGTATACATTTTAAAAAGATTTTTTCTTTCTTTTTGAATTTACATTTTTGTCAGTGAAGTAGCCGGCACGTGGAGCCACGGTTAACAGCGGATTTCCGTCTGTCGAGTACTTTGTTTTCAATTCGCCACCTGGGCTACCACAAATGAATAAAAAGATTGCCCAGGTCAATTTCTGGTCGCCCATTCTGGTCGCCATGGGCGACTGTCAAATTTTTTCCCTGGTAGAGATTTCAAAGTGCCTTCCCTGGGTCCCATGTATGTTTTTTACGGAATAGCCCTGAGATAAACCTTTATCTATTTCATAAAAAATTGTCAAGAAATGAACGGGAAAGAGTGTGAACAATGCAATTTCCCATACAAATGATATTTCCATGGAACATGTTTCATTTAAAAATAGTTGACAACTTTGAATTTCTTTTAGACAAATTAGCAGGAAATAATGTACGAATGGTGGGAATAGTTCAAATGGATGGCATAACAATCCGGTTTGTTAGCTTTGCAAAATCGTCATTTACTACAAAACCATGACAGATAAGAGTCTCCCTCTGTATAGCATTAAATATCTAGCTCATTTTGCCAACATTGGGTACTATATCATAATATAAAGTAACAAACAGGCATGGGGTAATGCAAATTTGTAATTGTAATGCATGGTAATGCATTACATTTTTCCAAGTAATTGCATGTAATGTGTAATGCAGCAATTTTTGCATTACATGTAATTGTAATATAATGCATTACTTTAGCAAAAAGTTGTGTAATTTCATGCATTACATGGCATTACTTTTTTCACATACTACATCTTTAAAATACTGTTGGAGATTTAACTAAAGCAGAATTTAAGATTTCTTGATTAACTAAGAATATATTAATTATTTGAATATATTCTTTATTTCATTTTATTTCATACATTTTCCTGCATAAAAAGATTGATATTTGAAAAGCATTACTATATTGTTGTCATTAAGATCAAAGAATACCTTGTCTTGATTAAATAAAAGATCATTGAAGTTTGTTATAAAACACTAATAAGTTTGTTTTACAATCAATATTTTCATTATTTGGACAATTGTTCATTAATTAAGCTCTATGTTTATTATATAATTAGGAAAGAAATTCTAAGTAATTAAATATTTTGATTGAAATTAAAAAAAAACAAAAAATATATTTATAAAAGTAAAGTCAACATTAAGTTTAAATAATTAAAAATGTAATAGCCGAATTAAATAGTCTGTTTACATGTATCCTTAAATTCAATGCATGGAACAGTTACTGCATATGCTAGAATCTTTTGTGACTTTGTGTTGTTTTTCAAAATGTTTGATTTTTCTATTCACCTAATAATAAAATTTACAAATGTAATGTGTAATTCAATGCATTACTTTGCAAAAGTAATTGTAATGTAATGCATTACTTTGATAAATGAATGTAATTGTAATTTAATGCATGGTTTTGTTAAAGTAATTGTAATATAATGCATTACATTGCAATGTAATTCGCCCCATGCCTGGTAACAAATCTACTTATCATCATTCAAAAGTGGATTTGATAAATTGTAATAATTTCTAAATACAATAAGATCCCCTACTAAGCGTCACTTTATGAAAGTATTCACATACCTTGACTATTAAATCAGCTACAAGATCATCATTAACAGTATTGCTTGCATTTGCTCTAGGTGATATGTTTTGTTTGTCCTCTCCACTTCCAACATCCTCCTGCTGAATAGACAACTCATATTTTAAATGAAGACTATATCACATAACAGGTCAATTTTTGATCCGTTTTGTTTAATGGTTTTAAAGGAGAAATTATAAAAAGTATTCAACAATGACAGACACTTTAAAACATAGACATCAAGTGATACAAATACTCTTATCCTATTAACAAGATGAGCTAAAAGCTTTCTACTGAATACCTTTATGGTAAAAAGATCTTGTGTTTCTTCATCAGAATCATTCCATTCAAATGCTTTCTTTGCAGATTTGACAACTCGTTTAACTGGTGAATCTTCAACTTGTGTGACAACTCTTTTGACTGGAGAATCCTCATCTTCACTTATCAGCTCCTTCAGCTGTGCTCGAGTAAAATTCCTTCTGGCATCTACTTCTTCCTTCGGGTGTGCTAGTGTAAACTTCTTCTTGGCATCAACTACTTCCTTCAGAGATAGAGATTCAGTGTCACTTATATCATCTCTAATGGCTGATGGAGTCTTTTTAAAAACTCTGGTTTTCTTTCTTTCTTGTGAGGAGTCATCTTCACTGATCACAGCTTGGATTTCCTAATAATGGAAGTGTTAAATTTCTACAGTTTAGTCTCCACACCATCATCATCACAATCATTTCATATAATCTCAATTGTCCTTGGTTAAGTAAAAAATATATCATGTCTCCCCATTCTCAACCAACCCTGACCCTTAAACATTTTTTGCCGGCAAAAAAAAAATAATTAAAGAAATATCTTTTTGTGTTGTTAGATAAGACACTGAATTCTATTTCTGGTGACTTATATAAAGTCAATTCTGAGACCAAAATTGACAAAATTTAAGTGAAAAAAAGTCATAACACTGGAAATTGCAAAAGTTCTACCATGCATGCCCGAAATCAATCTGATTCAAACTTGGAGAAAACCAGATTTGTTCGTTTGTCTTATTTTCAAATTGAACAGTACTTCATTCAGGTTTGATATATATGAGAGCTCTTTAACTGTTTGTTTTTTTGTGTGTGAATGCATACAATCAAAAACAATTTCAAGTAAACAATTTAACATATACAAAGTTTTGACAATACCTAGAGGCTAGATCATTAAGTATCACTGTAAAATCACCTTTTTTTGGTATTATTTTTCTATCTTAAAAAGATCCAAAAGTTTTTAATTGATTACGTATTATGTTTCTTATTGTAAATGAAGTCAATTTAAAGTATCAAATATAATCAAGAAAAAAGATTATCTGGGCCCCAAAAATTTATCTGAAAATACCAAGTTTAATGTTAATCATTAATGTTGTGGCAGATTGAGCAACTAGATGAACAATGTTTGTCTTTTCCCTGAATTGAATTAACAAAACCTTTTATAAAACAAACCTGATTATCAATTATATCCTGCTTCTCATCAGTAATAACAACATGGGAGAAATTATCTATTCTAGGCTGGTTTTTGTCAATCTTTCTGGGCATATGTTGCTTTTTAAGCTGTTTCTGAAAGGCAATGATAAAGTTGTTTTGATTAATACAATGAAAGGAATAAGTTTTACAAAGTATGTGTTTGGCCTCATAATTTCATGTTTTGGATTTTTACTATTAATCATATACTGCATTTAATGCCAGACATAATAAAATAAATACAGGTAGTGTACAAAAAGCAAAGATTTCTATCAAAGAAGAATTGATTTATTAACTAAGCCTATCAAAGCTTGTCTCACACCAACAAAAAATTAACAATTCAGAAAAAAATTAATTTTTTAACAGAAGTATTGAGTTTGGGCAAGCATGGGTTGACATTACATTTAACAGAATATGAAAAAATATTATCATACCTGCTGTATCGGTTTAACACTTAAGGTATTTTTCTGTTTCTCAATCTCTTTTGGTACTGGATTTTCCTCCATCATATCTACATCGATAGGAGATGGTGGATGTACGGCTTCCTCAAATGCTGATGAAGTTTGTTGGCTTAAGTGCAAAACCACCTCAGAGACTGGATCTAACTGACTGTTCACTGGTGATGCATGCTCTGAAATATTAAACCTTCCAGTGGCTGCATCTAAAGTTGGTTGAATATCAACTGTTGACTGGTCCATGTAAGGATCATAAGATTTTGTGTTGTTATTTGATTGATTTTCTTGTGTTCCTTGATTATATATATCTGACTGGTTTTCTTGTGTTTCCTGATTGTATATATAATCATTTTGGCTCTCTGGGATAACTGACTCTTGAGCAACCGCTCTACTTTGTTTTGGATGAACTGCTTGCATGAATGCATCAGTATTTTGTTTTTCTTCTTCAGAATCTGAATAGTTCCTTGATTCATCACCAAATGACTGACTGTGGATCTCAGCCTCCTCTTTAGACATCATTATAACTTGCTAGAAAGTAAATAAAAAGTGTCAACAAACAGCATTCTGGGAGTATTGCCTGGCAATACATAGTCCCCTACCAGTTGAAAATTCATTGTACTGGGAAAAAATGCTAACTTGAACTAAAAAAATGTGGAAAATTGATTAAGTGAATTTTCTAAGTCCAAGGACCATAACTCTGCACAAGATCATCAGACTGGAACAAAATTAAAACTTGATCTGTAACTTGTCATGATAAAACTATATACCAATTATCAAATCAATGTCTTCAAGCATGATGAAAAAAAGTGAGGAAAACTGATTGTTTGGGTGAATTTTCTAAGTCCAAGGACCATAACTCTGCACAAAATCATTAGACGGGAACAAAATTCTAAATTAATCTGTAACTTGTCATGATAAAACTATATACCAATCATCAAATCAATATCTTCAAGCACGAAGAAAAAAAGTGGAAAACTGATTTGCCGGAATGGCGGACGGACAGAGAGCAAACCTAAAGTCCCCTCGACTTCGTCAGTAGGGGACTAATAAACAAGTTGAAACCTTCAGTAGGTTTCTAACAAAACATATATCTATATCTGTAATTGGCATCTAAGTATTTCTTAAAATCATTCCATTCAGTCAGGTTTTATAACATCACAATATTTAATGATTTATCCAGTGGACCCCTATGTACGGACTTATATTAACACCTGTCATATTAGCAGATAGGTCGATATAAATTTTAAACTAGAACCTGATGGATAATTGTGGCAAGGTTAAGTGTAAATTGCCAAGTGGTTTCAAAGAACATTTTTTGATGCATAAAAAATGATCTCACAATATTTACATGGCACAAACAGACCAGGTGAGCTAAAAAAAAGAAGAGAAAATAATCAAAAATAACAGTTCACAATACCATTCAGAATAGACCAATACCTACAGCAATATTAACTTTTTCTTCCCTGGTCATATCTGTAAAATCTATTCCAGACTCTGAAAGAATCAAAAACAAAAACATCTTCAATTTGTATTTCCATATATTTCATATACGAAGGATTATAAAATATGATATGCAAGAAATTCAAGGGTTTTAAGGATATATCTACATGATGTATTCGACCAAGAAATATATCTTTGAAACAAAGCAGAAAACAGTTATCTGTTTGTTTCAGTTTGATGTTTAGAGTTTAATAATACCACATGCTAAGGCCAAAATAAATAAATTGTGTGTTTCCTATTTCACCTCAAAAAAATTAGGTAGGGTAGGTAGGTACTGTAAATTCAGAAATTATTGCGTGCATTTATTATTGCGATTTTTTCATTTTAGACTAAAATGCGATTTTAATTTTTGCGATATTGAGAAAAATCCTGTTTAATTCATATAAAAGATTTCAAAATGCGAGTTTAAATTATTGCGATTATAGCCCTGTCGCATTTTTCGCAATAATAAAAACATCGCAATAATTTCTGAATTTACAGTAAAACATTTTATTTTATGAAAACATTTTTTTCTATTGATGACAGCAGAAAAAGGTTCCAAATCACATCATTTGATGTGCCTGCTTCTTTGATATTTAGAATAGTACTTAAATCTACATCTTTTTAATTTTCTGTTTTAGTTCTGTTACAGAAATATGAAAAACTCTAATCCAAATTTTATGCATTTCAGTGGTCGTAATAGAAATATGTTCTTGCCGATGATTTATCTTAAACCAAAAATGGCAGTGAAAAATCTGGCATGGTATGTTATTACGTTGGGCCTCGTTGAACCTAACAATGTAAATAACACACTTGGTATACGTATGGGAGCAGATAAGTACCCCTTGAAACATTGTGAACCGATGCTTCTATAAGCAGCGGTTGATTATGATTTTTCGAGGGGTTATACTCTGCCCTAGCACCCTCTTTATTTAATATACATGTACAGATGTGTTTTAATGTGATCTTGAAGAGTGGATGGTTCCGACAATATTAATATTCCAGGTTTTGAGAAGAGTGAGAATGTGAAATCTTTGTCTTATACAGCTGGTCAAATGATATGCAGATATATATGACAATTTTTAAAAAAAATTTTGTATAAATTATGAAACCAGCCAGAGAAAATATAAAAGAATAAAAGTTGACATAGTGCCGGGGTAGATTCATTTATAAATGAACATGAATCATACACCATGTCTTGCTACCGTAGAAAGTTTTTTTTTCTCTTTTTCGTTACACATTGTCTGCCACCTTGCCATCATTAACTAAAATGCTCAAAAGCATTAACAGCCGTTTATGTTGCGTCCTGAGCACAATTCTGTACAACATTCTTAAGAGCGTTTTTTACAACAAAAGCTGGATTGATTTTAGCAGTAAATTGAACTCATTTTACTCTCAAATTGTTTGTCAAGTTACCGACATGTACAGTCTGTCCAACCTGAAATGATTAACTTTTGGTCCAAGACAAGATTTTGTTAATATATGTATATATACTGAACACATTTTCTGATATTATATATGCTAATATTAAAAAAATCTCATCTTGTACCTGTGCAAAGAAGTTGAGCAAAATGTGTCAACTTCATATTTTGTTCGTCTATAGGTCCATTATGACGTTCTTCAAAAAGATTCATCATTCAAATCGTAATTATGCAGAATCCATGTCATTATATTTTGTGTCCATGTGATCAATAATAATCCTTACAATTTGAAGTAGTGGGCTGAAACCAAAAGTAGATGGTTGTGACATGCGGTCGGTTTGCAGGCCACCGCTGCAGCTTGGCGCCTTTACGGCAGAGGGTCTGTGGGCCGCTCAAAATCCTGAATTCTTGTAATCTCCTGGAACCTAATTCCATCTTTAAATTACCTTTTTTTATGTATGAAATTAAAAAAAAAAAAAATATCAAAGAAAAATTCATCTTTTTTATGTGCAGGATTGTGTAACCTTCAATTCTTCAGTATTTTCTTTCCCTTGTGCTGATAATTCATTTGTTTTTAAATAAGATTTTGATAATATAACAAATATATTTTCAGCCTACTACTTAATTTTTATTGAAAGCTTGGTTATGGCCCTGAGAATGGGATGATCATGGGACAGAACCTAGGAACAAAAGACTTTATACCAGGATCATGTGGATGACAAAGATAAAACTGGAAGCAGATTAACTTAACATACTACTGTCATCTTCTCTGACTCTCCTCGCTTTCTTGAAGCCAAAACAGAACAGGGTATTTAAACGCTTTATTGTTGTTGACCATCGGAACTTCTCTTTAATATCCTTGCAAAAATATGATGCTTTCTGATTAGAGATGATAATTTACACTTATAATAGACGACCAATCAGTGACCAGAGTTCACGTGAACTATATTTAGCTAAAGGTAAACACAGGTATTACATCCTTGTTTATAGTGACCAATACAATACAACTCTCTACGCTTGTCTGTACATATTTTAAAAAGATTTTATTTCTTTTTGAATAATTTATTTTTTTGTCAGAGAAGTAGCCGGCACTTGTAGCCACTGTAAACTGCGGATTTCCGCCATCTACCATCTACTTTGGAAAGCCCTAGATCAAATTTCGCATATTTGACTGGTAATACTTTTTATTATTTTTTTTATTTCGTCAATAAAATGTTAAGGGTCTGTGTTGGAGACAGAGGTAGGGTCGGGAAACCAGAAAACACACAATTTATTTATTTTGGCCTTAGTTTATCTAAAAATCTCAAATCAAATTAAAAACGTTGAACACGCCATTTGTAATTAGGCAAGCTTAATAATTGCCAGAGAATTCTGAAGTGGTTTACACTGCTTACCTCTCAATGTTCTCTCTAGTATCTCATCTTCGTTACTTTTAACTTTTCTTGCTGTTTTCTTCACCTTTTTGTTTCTATTTATTTGATTCTCCTCAATAACACTGATCTGTAAAATGGAGAATAAAAGAAGCTATTTTAACCTGCACATGTGATCACGTGTCTGTCTCAGGAATCCTGTTTTTATATAATTTAAAATGTGTTGTAATTATTTTCGATACTTTTGTGTTGAGGTGCAATTTATTCACTTCTTTTTGTTTAGACTTTGAAGGATTACTCAATAATAAAATATAATTCAAAATAGTTTATTGACATGTCTGATGATTTGCAGTGTGAACTATACCTTCCCCTAAGGTTAAACCAGATCTATCACACACTTCTAAAGAACTTACACAGGTGGATGCAAATTCTTTTTATTCAAAATTAAGATATTGACTCTGGGGGGTTTAATTTCATGGTTTTAACTGACCTTACATTTAATGTCAGAAATTATCTTTATGCAGCATTTTTTTTAAATTTTTGTCTAGTCAAATGCATACCTGTTTAATTAACTTTTTACATCATCACAAGTTCAAATCTTGTACAGATGTACATATTTTCTATTAATGATTTCACTAATTTCAACTAGCCAATTTCTGTACTCACAAAAGCTTGGGATAATAAAACTCCCACTACCTGGACATCTGTACAAGTGCAAACAAAATCTTGATTGAACAATGGACAATACCTCATCACTATCTGATGACTGCATATTTTCTTCTCCGGAACGTCCAGCATGTGGTCCCATGTTTCTTTCTTGTACTTCATCATTTTGACTTCGTCTACTTTTACTTGCACTCATATTCCACCTGATTAAATAAAAATTTATATTTTCCTTATTTACACTTTACTACATTTAGAGACTCAACCTTTAACTTGCACTTCAGCTCATAAAGCAGTTTATTTTTTTCTTTCTTTTTGGTTACCATGTTTATATTTCAAAATTTCATGTACTGTATCTGTATGTGTCTAAAAGAAGTTTTGCAAATGCTTACTAGTCGGAATAAAATTTTACTAGTCTGGTGCATCGGACTAGTAGCTAACGGTGCAGACTGCTATACATGACTTCAAATGTGTAATCAATTATGGAAGAACAACAACCTCTCTTATAGACACTAGCTTAATATTTTTGAATCTGGAAGGCTTTTTATTTCTTTATATTCCAATAGTTTTTTTCTGACTGAAAGGTAAAATTTCAGGCTTTTCTTATTTTGACTAAATAATTAAATGATTGCTTTTATAATCAAAGTTCTGGTTCATTGACCTCGATATACATGTCCAAGACGAATAACCTTGGCAGTATGGCAAATTGAATGGATTTTTTTTACAAAAGCTGGACATTTATAAACATGTCGCATTTTGTTGGTCATGATGATAATATCAAATAAAACAGATAGCAAACATACCACATCTTCTTTTTTATATAGACAAGTCCAAAATATCATGAAATACTGTAGAAAGTATGACAGTTGGCGAACACGCGAATTCATGTGAACAGAAACTGGAACATGAACAAAGCAATTGTGTTGGTGAAGGTAGTGAAGTTGTAAATAAAGAAGATGCTTGCAGTCTTCACGATGAACTGCTAAATCTACAGGCCCGGAGCTCAATTTTTGAAAATTTTTAGTTAGATTCTGTTGGCTTGTAGATATGATTTTTACAGGCCCGAGAGCAATATTACAAGCCTGGGCTGCCACTCAGCGTGAAGACTGTGCTTGTAAATATCCTTCTCTTTATAAGTTTGAAGTGGTGTTGGTCTGGTCGTATGTTGTTCAGTTCTACAGATCTTATTGTTAGTGTGAATTTCTGAGAGATGAATACATGCACAGGTTGGGGACAACCAACTAATTGGTCATTATTATAGCGCAGATGGGATATAAATTTTCAGGCCAAAAAATTTAAATTTTAGAATTAGAAAAACTACTAAAAATGCATTTGTTTTGGTCCCTAGTAGCAATTTTTGGTTAGCATCTATTCCAGAAAATGAATAAATTGCTAGATTGATCCCTCTGTAAATCAGTATCTTTCAAGGGATCAACCTCATAAACAATCCAGAATTCAGAAAAGTTGCTAACCAAAAGTTATTACCTGTTATGTAATCATGTTCAATTTGCAATATTTTCCCTTCAACTAAAACCAAAAAAATGTTTTGCAAAGTAAAATAACATCCTATTTTGGAGATAATCCCCAACCTGATGAATACATGTCGGTCACGGATTTACTGTGGGGTCAAATAAGAAAATCAGTTTGGACAGATTCCCAAAAGAGATTATGTTTTAAGATGTTGAATCATGTTTAATTTTTTTCGAATGTATGCTGTGGTCTTGATTAGGGATTCTGCGAACGTTCAAATCAGAAAACCTCTCCAGATTGCTGGGTCCTGTCACGGAATAGAAGTTCCTTCAAAATATAAGTTCCAATTGGAAACAATATTCTGGAATATTATTTCCACTGGAATAAATATTACAGTAAATGTTCCTAACGGAATAAATGGTATAGAATATTTGTTCCAACAGGAACAGATATCATGACATTGTTTATAACAAAGTTTCCAGTGGAACTTCTGTTAGGCGGAACAAATATATCCGTTGACAGGACCATGGCACGGATACTGGCAGTATCGATAGCTCAGTCAACAAAAATTTGAACTGCATGGATCCCTTAATTTTAGCTGAAATAGTTCATTGTGCTAATGTTTATATTTCAAATTGTGACAGGTTGGGCCTTTAGATGGAAAATGTTTGTGTTTTTCCTGCTCAGACATCTTGCAGTCTTACTTTTCTTTTGCACAACTTGAAAAAATTGAGACAAATTTTGAATGTGACACATATTTTCAACTTACCTCGTGGTTAAATTTCAGTAAAAGATACCGAATAAAAAGCATCTGTTAAGTAAAAATTATTATTTTTCTGATAACAGGTTGAGCTTGTTAAACATTTAAAAGTAGTGAATGTGGTTAGAAAAATGGTTGGAAATGGCGCGATGATAAGGACAGACTAAATACCGGAGTAAGGAACGGTGTATAAGAAGATAAGATAAGAATTTTATTAATCTAATCAAGAACCCATAAAGGGCATCATTTACAACAATATTAAGCACAATATGATTGGAAAAAAGAAAAACTATATCCTAATATAATACTATCATATATTGGACAGGATCAGAGCCTAACACATCATGTGTCTTACATAACATTAACAATAATTGCATAATAATTTTATATATTTTGTATCCACCTGGATCTTATTTCTAAACACTTAATTATATAATTGCCTAGGCACATAAGAGTTGGTAAATGCTCATTTGTGAACAGCCAGAAATATTTTTTATCCTTGGGTAATTCTTTAAAATTATTACAAAAACTGTTTACTTTATCCCATAATAATTTTCTCTGTTCGTTATATAAAGGACAACTTACTGTGAAATGGGTCTCATCTTCAATAGAATTTGATCCATGTGATAGGCAGTGATGACATAGACGCTGACTTCTCTCTATGTATTTTTTACTATACCTATCTTTCTCAATTTTAAGATCATGTGCACTTATTCTCAATTTACATATAGCTCTTCTTATATTAAAATCTTTAATTGATAAATAAGCCTCCTTTACGAAGTCAGTCTTGAGGTTGAAATAATTTTCTAATTTACTATTACCTTGTGATAAGGTATCAGATCTTTTGACCCCCCAAAATGTTTTAAAACTGTTACAAAGTTTACATTTTACAAATTTAATTAATCTATTGAGCTTTGTATTCAAATTTTGTATATCAAGTGATTGAAGGACATATCTCATAGATGAATACCAACAATTAATGTTTCCTGCATCTAAAATTTTATTACAAACATAAGCATCATAAAGTAACCCATCGTCCAATTTGTTAAGCCTGTGTACATATTTTACCATAGATATAATGACAGAAAAATAAAGAGGAAATCTTGCAACCTCTGATAACACTGCCAAATTTGAGGCTTTTTTATTTACACCAAGAATATATTTTAGATACCTGAAATGTGATTTTTCCAAATAATCATTTATGTAAATTAATTCAAATAGATAATCACTTTTTTTCTTGCAAGCAGCAGAGTTAATCTTAAAGGTACCCCAGATTTCACTACAATATAATAAAATTGGTTTTATTGTGTGATCATATAAATGGATTGCAGTATCAATACTTGGATTACAAGCTGACATGGATTTTTGTAGTTTAAATTTTGCCTTTAAGGACTTTTTGAATAGCTCTTCTTTCCCCTGCTGAAAAAGACCACTGGAAGTAAAGACTATCCCTAAATATTTATATCTGTTAACACATTCTATAGCCTCATTATCTAAACAAAGTGATTCCTTCAAAAATTTTCCAGGCTTGTTAAAAATTAAAACTTTTGTTTTGGACAAGTTAACATCTAGACACCAATCAATACAATAAGTTTGCAGGTTATCAAGTCGGGTTTGCAGACCCTGTTTAGTGTTTGATAATATAATAATGTCATCGTATAATAATTTGATAATATAATAATAATGTGTTTGATAATATAATAATTCATATTGTATAAATCCGGAAAAATATAATATAGCTTGTAATGCAATTAAGCGTTCCTCGACTGACTACTACACTTTGTTCATAGTCTATGAACAAAGTGTAGTAGTCAGTCGAGGACCAGCTTAGTAATGCAACAGAGCAATAAGCTTTTTTTTTAAAATAAGGAAATTTCGTTTTCAGTTTTCTCAACATAACTTGAGATATTTTAATATGATAAAAAAATTTATGTAAAAGATTAATTGTTTTAGTACTTGGTATCATCAGAGACATCAATTCAATCACAAATGTGACATATTTTCAAGGAATAATTTTTTATTGTTAATGATTTTAAGGATTCTACCAGATACACCCCTACAATACAATTGTAGTATATGTCTGAATTGTACTATGTCTGAATTGTATTATATGTCTCAATTGTACTATATGTCTGAATTGTATTATATGTCTCAATTTTAATATATCATCTCTGATTCTATACATTATGATAAAAACATTTCAGACACGTGCTAAACTGAGGATGAAAATATTGCCATTTACATAGAAGTGTTATAATTTATTAACAAACAGTTCAGGTTTTTGGCAATTGAAACCAGAAAAAGACAAGATAGAACAGGATTCATATTGCCATACAAAAGATACAAAAACAGCCCGTGAAGTTGCCATGATGACAGAGAAGTAGAAGCAATTAAAAGAGAGACGAAAGATACCAAAGGGACATTCAAACTCATAAGCATTTTATGCTTTAAGTCGCTTCGACGAAAATAAACCGACAACGCCATGGCAAAAAAAGAAAAAGACCAAAAGACTAACGTACAACTGTACACAAAACACAACATAGAAAACTAAAGACTGAGCAACACGAACCCCACCAAAAAACCAAGGGTGATCTCAGGTTTTAAGATTTCTTTCCAAATCCAAATATATGCAAACGGCCGATTAGATATAGGCGTCTCACATCTAATACTCTTACCGTGAGTATGCTTATAAAAGAACTTCATATTATAAAAGTTAAAAAGAGAAATATAATACCAGTGTTATGTCTCATGTTGAAATATGCTAATTTTATTGTTGATATTCACCCCATATGCACCAAGTGTTAAATTAGTTTTATTGATATTAAAGAAATGTCTTGGTATTCCTAAACAGAAGATTTTAAACACACAGAAGAAGAAGTATACTTAACAACAAAATTATTTTCATTTACCTGTGTATAATATGACGCAGGTTTTTTCAAAAGTGATGATTTTCTAAATATTGTTTAACATTTCACAGTGGTATCATACTTTAACTTTGTTTAAACCTGTTTATTTACTTTTGACCTTAATTATTTATCCCTTATAACTTTTATTAACTATGTATTTGCATTCAGGTATCACAGATCAAATTTATTCGTTCATTGTGTGTTAATTTACGTTTTTTGATTGAGTTAAGCCTTCCAATTGATATTTTATAGTGTGTCTTTCTATGTTGTGATGTTATACTATTGTGTCAGAAAAGGGAGAAGGTTTGGTACCATTAAAACGTTTAATCCCGCTGCAAATGTTTGCACCTGTCCTAAATCTGATGTATGTACAGTAGTTGTCGTCTGTTTATGTAGTTCATACGTGTTTCTCGTTTCTCGTTTTATATAGATTAGACCGTTGGTTTTCCCGTTCAAATGGTTTTACACTAGTAATTTTTGGGGCCCTTTATAGCTTGCTGTTCGGTGTGAGCCAATGCTCCGTGTTGAAGGCCGTACCTTGACCTATAATGGTTTTCTTTTATAAATTGTTATTGGATGGAGAGTTGTCTCATTGGCACTCATACCACATCTTCCTATATCTAATTAGACATTTTAGAAGTTTGTTTTTTAAGTAAAGGTCTTTTTTGTATTTTTTAAAATATGTGTGGTGTATATTGATACGTTTCAGCAAGAAGGTTGTATGAGAACAAACTCCTTGGTTTCAGCAATAATCTCTACCACGTTATGTTCAGTCAGTGTTATTTTCCCCGTTTTTACATGGATTTTTAACAAATTCTTGATTTTTACAATGTATCTGGGACTAATACATTTATACATTAGTACAAGAATGTATATGTTGTGTACAAATTGTAATGTTGTACAAATTATAATTTGTGCAGAATGTTTGTACAAGTTATCAGTGTTTTATGAACAGCTTAACACAAATGGATGATACAAGCACACAGTCTTCTGTATCGCATATTTCTGTCATATTTCCATGACTACATAATACAGTCTAATACTTCAGCATTGATAAAAAAACATTATAAGAACACAAAAAGACTTTTTATGGATATGATTTGGTATAAGGAGTAAAATAAAAAAAGAATTTAAACAAATCAGGTGTTCTTATTTCCAATTATAGGACAAAGAGAATAGCACTAAATGTTAGGTTGAAGTATATAAATTTGAATTTAAGACATAAAGCTGATAAATTTGAGAAGATAAACTTTTATCTTCTGGTGCAAAAAGGTATGTGTCAAAAAACTTATAACTTGTACAAAAACCCTGTACAAATTATAATTTGTACAAACTTTCATACTTTGTTCTAGTAGGCTTTGCACCAATGTTTTAACAGAGATGTATAAAGTTTGGGTTGTGAAGCGACTGCATAAAAGAATCTAACTTAAAGTCTTTAACATGGGCATTTCATTTTATCTGGGTGCGTGTGATATATATATTTTCTGTTACCATTTGTTTTCCATTTTTAGAAGTGCATACCACATATAAATAGAGAAAAATCAACAAAACAAAATATCATTTTATTTTTTATCGTTATTCATGGTACAGGGAATATCATTTTTCATAAAGTTAAAAATCAATTAACTCCCTTCGTACATGCTGGGGACCAATAGATCATGCATTAGTCCCAGGTACATGTCATATGTCAGTTTATTGCGAAATATTTACTGAGTGGCACATATCGACACGTGCATAAACAATGGCATAACGAGGCTTGAACGTTTCACGCCAAGGTGATAATCCCTGGAGAGGAATCGCACCAATTTGTAATCCTAATGCCTTATCACTCCTCAGAAGTTCAAATCCTCTATATATCGATTAACAGGGGCGGGTCCAGGTGAGGGCGTAATGGGCGTACGCCCCCCCTTTTCAAAAAAAAAAAAAAAAATCTATCGTAATCTGCTAATACTGTATTGAATATGGCAATTTATCATATTCATTAATTAAACATATACTCTGAAAATTGTTCTAATGAATCCACTCTAGTCTAACCATTGATTGAAAATGAGAGTCCGTCGGTATTTCTGTGTTCATTTTAGGTTTTGCGTTAAGGTACATTTATACTAGTAACATGTATATTTGGTATAGCATTGTACTTCCCATCTGGATAGCCTTTGGTAGTATCATAATGTTTCAATATCCATTAGTGAGTAACTAAGTGACATTGACCTATATATTGCCATCAAGTTCAAGCACCATATTTATTTAT